TGGTCTATATATATTTATTTTTAAAAACTATCTTTCTTTTTTTTTTGTTTTATTTTTATTTTTTTTTTTTTTTTTTTTTTTTTTTTTTTTTTTTTTGCTGCTATGAAATTTAAACGCACATTGAAGAATAGAACTATGACGGAAATCACCCGACACCCGATATGATTTTGGTGCTATTTGTTTTATTTATGGCCTATATCATCTTGCACATTTTGAAACCATCCCCATGCACATTCTCAGGGTTTCATTGTTGTCTTTCATTCATCAATAGGCCTAGGCCTATATGTTGTTTAAATAGGCCTACTTGTTTCCCCACGGGCCTAATTATATTGCCTTGCGGACCAAATTTTGCCTGCGGGCCGCCTTTACAAACCAGAGGTATATAGGTATAAGCCTACATTGTAAAGTATTCATTTGACTTGAAATCTGGGAAACCAATCAAAAAAATAAGTTGTTCATTTTCTTATATTATATAGGCCTACGTTATCTATCAACTCTTAAACCAAAGCAATATATTTTTTTTTTCACAGATTTAGACCCTTATACAATGTAGGCCTACGAAAATAAGTTGGTTGAGTACGGTATTTCATTGTCAGAGTACAGTGCAAAAGATAAATGGTAGTCATATTTTGTGCTTTTTTTAATTTGTACGGAAGGCATTTTCTTATTTTAAGAGCTGGGTGTAAAAGAAGCAGTAGCGGCAAACCAGGATTTGCCTGAGGTGGGGGTCTGTACGGCAAGGCGGCCCTGAAAAGCCGACGCCAGTCTATAGAAAATCTGTGGGAGGCTCGCCAAGTGGGTAACGCCCAAAAAATTGGGCAATCTGTAAAGTGGAGGTTAAAAACGGTATTATTTTTACTATGGAGTTTTTATATCTGATCCTATAGGCCTAACTATATAGTGACAGTTTATATTTATAGCTATTGATATTTGATATACTATTTAAAAGTGTACATTTTATGGGAAATTATCATTCACTACCTATAAAATATGGACCCAAATCAAATCAAATCAAATCAACATTTATTTCTTTCACAATATAACAATAAAAAAATATATAATTTTTAACAAATATCTAAGGTATTATATGTATATACACTATTTTAGTAAATATAATTTAAATTGAAAGAGGCATGTGCCCTGTAAGTAAAATTAATTGGAAACAGATTCCAATTAAAAATTGTGATGGGCTAGCCAGACCCCTGTGTACGTCCCAGAAAAGACCAGTCTCCACATGATTTAAAACCTTGTCCTAGAAAAAAAAAAAACTTAACCAAAGAGAACATTATATTGGATTTACAGTTAATATTAAACGGTATCCCAGCTGCAGGCCCTGCCTGATCGCATTAAGAATATGCCTGCTGCCCTCACTAATGTACCAATTATTTAGCAGCTCCCTTGGCAACGATATACCGCATTTTATTATTATCTACTTACACAAATAGTGCATAATAATCGTGTCAATAATATGAATTAAATTATTATGAGGATGTGAAGCCGTAATAAAAATTATTGAATGTATTTGTATGTGAAAAATCATTATTTATTGCTTTTTGAAGCATGTAATTCAGTTTTGTTTTCAGTCCTTTGATATTCCTCATAATTTACAGTACTGCGGTTAACTTTTCGTCGGCATAATAAACAAGATGGCGACAAAAATGTCTTCCAGTAATTTTTATTCCACTGGAAAGTATGGCTCTGGGGCTGCTACCAGCATCCCAACAACGATGGATGTTACACCGGACCTTCATCTTAAAATGTCCAAGAAAATAGCACAGCTGACAAAGGTGAGAAAATACCGTAGCTGATATCCTGTCTAAGCCTAGCCTAGGTAGGCATTAGGCCTAGGCTTAGGCCTAAGTTAGGCACTAGGCCTAGCCAGCAATACAGTAGGCCCGTAGTAGTAGGCCTAGTACTAGGCTAGGGATTACTGGGCCTAGCATAGACCAAGTAGAGTCAAGGGTGACAGATTATTGCCTCCAAAATCACTGCAGGTAAGATTTAAGGTAAGATACACGAGAACCATTATTATATAGGCCTAGCCTATCTGAACTTCATAAAATACAGTTTATTTTATAGGCCTAGCCTCACGGTCTACCGGTAGGCCTAAGTCAATCGTGACGTCATCAATGCAACTCCCAATGTTATTTTTGCCTATCTCCCCACAGTCCATTTTTTAGGTTCTTGTGCGAAAAAAACCCCCTAATTTTCGTACCGCGATGAAAATTGAATTGTAATTGGAAAATTACTTTCGTATAACAAGATTAATTAGACCCCGAATAATGCTACTTCAAATTCAATATTGATTATGAACAATTAAAGAATTCCTTAAATCAATGAACCCTAATAAACTAAACAAACTGAATGTTTAATAGGAATATTCTAGACCTATTTTAAAGCTAGAGAGGAACAAAATTGGATGTAGACCTATGCTGCTAGGGAGGCCGCCGAGGCCTTCTCCTCCTTCCCTAGGCCGTAGCATGATTTTTACCTGTCTGACTGTATTTTCTCTCGAATGCTTTAGGAAATATTTATTTCTTTAACGAATATATCAAAATAGCATTACGAACAAGTTCTTCTAACACAATACAAATTATTAGTTATTCATTGTATCCGTACTTTACTGCTGATGTGTAGTTAACGCGTACTGCAGGAGCACAAACCAGCATACGCAGGGCTAAATGTAAATATGCACATAGTATACTGATCATATCACTATAGCAACTGATGACTGCTACAACAGTTGGTTATTAAAACTAACATTAAAAGACAGCAATTAGTAGAGCATGCATTGTACACTAATGGAAAATGATTATACTTAGGTTAGATTTAATGCATTCAAAAATTTCCTTCGGCCTTGCAGGCCCTCATTAGATCTAACCTTCGTATAATAATTTTTTTCTATAGTGTACAGTACTATGCAGAGCTCTACTAATTGCTTAATATAGGCATAGGACCTAGTTTAATTTTGATGATGACAATGGAATTTATCTAAGTTTGTAGTAAATTTAAATGTATCTTGTATTGTTTCCTTTTTTAGTGTTCTATTTTTATTATTCTGGTATTTAGTATTCTCATTTTGGGACCACAGAGGAAATAAGTTGCTTTTTGTGCTTTTCTGTGTTTTTACTATTGATTACTTTCAGAATGAATAAGTAAAAACAAAACAAAAAAAAGTACGCTTCATAACCCAGACATAACCCAGTAGTTATTTTTGCAAATTTCTGCCCTGAAAATTCATAACTAAGTCATTTTGGGTATCAAAATATACGGGCAGATCCGTAGTATCCGAGGCAGAGTTACAAAAAAAATTGTGTTCCAAAATTGTTACATCCTCCGCATCACACCTCTTAACCATCATGACTGTCATGCACACTGCTGTAGTTTTTATGCCTGAATGCCAAGTCCCAACAGAATGATTCTTTTTCGATACAGTAAGCCTATTTGTCATTTCAGAAAATTGACAATTGTAAAAATATGTATTTATTTGTAGGTTATATATGCACTGAACACCAAGAATGATGAGCATGAAGCACTCGTTAATCAACTCAAAAGCGCTCATGAGAGTGAATTGCAACAACTCATGGCTGAAACAAAGACCAAGGTGGCAGTGTACAAAAGTAAAGTAAGTGGAGAAACGGAACTCAGAAAGCGTATAGAATCCCTTGAAGCATGCATCCTGGAGCACGAACGACAACGCAAGGAGGCTTTAGAACAGTTTACAGATTACAAGAATCAAGTCATTCAATCAGAAACCAAACTCAAAGCTGAACAATCTCACAAACTGTTAAGTCTTTCCAAAGAGGTTTTAGAAGTTAAAAAAGATTTTGAGGAGCGGTTGAAGTCATTTGAATCTATGAAAGATAGGTTTGAAAAAGACAAAGAAGCATCATTAGAGGAACTACGAAGAGCACATGCTAAGAAAGTAGATGAGTTATTAAAAGCACAACTTCAGGAAAAATCTGGAACTTTAAATGAAAAGAATCAAATAGAAGAGAATTATTCAAAACAAATAGCAGCACTCAATTCCGAGTATGAACGATTAAAAGCTGAAAAAAATAATATGGCTAAAGATTATGAACTGAAAATTCAAAAAGCGCAGGCATTTTATGAAAAGGAAATGGCAGTGATGCGTGGACTGGAGGAAAAAGAACGAGCGAAGCAATTAAAAGAGAATGAAGCACTGTTAAAACGGCAGTTTGGTGAAAAAGAACACAGTTTAAATTTGAAAATTGAGGACGCAAATTCTCAACTCTTGTGTGTAGAAGAAGAGCTTAGCAGTTATAAATCAAGGCTGAACGATGCAGAGCTGGCTTTAAAACAGAATACAGGAGATTCTGAGTACATGACGAAACAGGTGAGAAGACAGTGTTTTGTTCTACTATTCTCATTTTATTAGTATACTTTATATCATCTTCCTTATTTGCTTTGTTTGACCAAACTAACATCATTCGAAAATTCCATTTTATACTTAGTTGTAAACAAATAAAAACTAAATTTTAAATAAAAAATGCACTTATATTACAATAGAGATTATTAATTGTAAACAAGAAAAGATATTTGCATATTGTTATCTGATAAAAAAAAATGTTATTCAACATTTTCTGGTGAATTTTTAGATTAAAAAATTGGTACAATTTCGGCTATTTTTAGGTCATTGAACGTTACTTTATTCATGATCGTTTTTTTAAGTTAGCATCATAGATTCTTCGTATTCATAATGCAGAAACTATGGAAACCTGTATTGACTGTCAAAGTCAGATTTTATTATTGTTTGACTTGTGCTACTGTCTGTTACTATGGATCACAGTATGTATTATGAATATTCATGTCTGATATTTGTAAAGTTTATTATCAAACACAACCATTGTTGTTTTTTAGCTTGCTGGTGATACAAGTTAAACAGCATTGGAGAAGATTGCAATTTATGCAGTTGAAAGACTGTTTAATTACCATATTTATGTTTGATTGAAAACAACTGTCTGTATTACTTCTTTAAATATGAATTTTTATTTTTATCACATAGTTAACCAAATCCAAGGAAGAGCTTGCCAACGCTGTGACAAAACTAAAAGAAATAGAGGTACAGTTGGCGGCATCTAAAGAACGTTGCCAACAACAAGCTGCTGATATGGTGAAGAAATCAAGTAAGAACTTCAAAATAACTAATGTATGATTGTTAATGATACTATTATTCTTGGGACCCAGGGATTTAATTTAAAGAAGAGGATCGTCATAACCACTGTACTCTGCTACTCTCCAAATTATTTTACAAATTAACATATTTTTAGAAGTTTTCTTTCATGTACATATTGTTCTTTCTTTCTGTATTCATTTTCAAATGCCTTACAAAAAAAATATAATCACATAAAATGTGGGGAGCCAGCATCAACCGTTAACCTCCACGGATATTTAAAATATATATGTGGGGTTTTTTTCTTTAATAATCCTTCATTAATTATTTTTAAATGAATTTTAATATTGTTTTTTCCCTAAGGTATGATAGGATCATTACAAGCAACCCAGATGAGTAATGAAGCAACTATCGTAGATCTTCAAACAGAATTGGGCAAACTGAATGACAAGTTAACATGGCTGGAGAAGGAGAGGAAGAATTTAGAGTCAAGTAAACACTCTCTCTCAGAACAACAGTCAGCACAAGTCAGGTCTTTAGAGAAGGTACAATTATTCTTATTTATTGTAAAAAAAAAGACATTGAATGTTATTAAGTTATTTTTACATGTTGTTTATTATTATTATTGAATCTGTAAAAAACGCAAAAAATTATTTGGTTATAAATCCGGGCATTCACTGTGCCTGAGATTCTCTAAAGAACGCAATGCAGGAGCGGAGTTGGATTCGTTGTGCGACAGTCGTACGACCGTTGAACAATGAAGCGAGTGCCCGGCTTAAGGATCATGTAACACGTATCAAAGCAATTCAGTTTTTGCTGATTCAGACCAGTCAATAATACTGTCTAAAAATGTTGAAGGTATTTATAATATATTTATGTATTTGTCTATCCATGATTTTAAAATATTATATTTTACTTCTTGAATTTTTGAACAAGAATTTTGCCATTCACTGGGGATTGCCTTCTGATGTACTCTGCCCAATTCACCAATAAGAACAACCCCACTGTCTTTCTTTGGTGTGTTTCATACCAATGAAATACAATTAAATCCAGGGAACAATTGTATCTTGAATATAATTTGATATTTGATTCTCTAGGCTCTTGAAGATTTATCGATAGAGAAACAGACAATGAAAGAACGCTATGAAAAAGCCCTAGCGACAGCCGAGTCGGGCAGCAAGAATAGCCTAGAAAAAGTAAAGAAAGATTTTGAAAATCAACTTGAAGAGCTCCAAAGAAAACACAAGGATGAAGTCAACAAGAGAGAACAGGAAGCAGAACAGGAATTAAAAAAGCTGAAAGAGGTATGGTTGTGGTATGCTTGTTATTGTAAAGTACGTTGTATTTGTATTCAGTTATTTTTGACTGATAAATTATTATGAATAATGATGTTTTGTTTGTTTACAATGCATAGGAGCTTGAAAGCAAATTAGAAGAAACAGCTTCTCGTCTGACACAAGAGAGAGATGCCATGCTGGCGGAGTTCAAAACGACCAGGGCTACGCTTGATGCTCAGCTGCAGGCATCCGAGAAAGAATGTCAACGATTACAGGCTATAGTGGACCAAGGCGAGCAAGGGTTAGGGTCAGCAAATTCAGAGATTGATACACTCACTAAGGACAATGTAAAGCTGAAAAGTGACCTGGATGCTGCTAAATCTCAACTGAAAAATGCAAGAAACAAGTCTCAGCAGTTACAGGTAATATTACTATTTGAAGCTTGCCAACACAATAGTGCCAGCATTAGTGACCAAAAAATAAAAATTGACTTTTTAATATATTCTTATTCACCACACTATAAGCTTTAAAGTAATAGATCATTCTGACTTACTATAGCCTGAGACAACTATAAGAGATTGGAAACGACCCAAGATTTCCTTTGTTCTTCCATCCTGGCGATTTGTTGTGTGTTGCATGCTCTTGATATGCAAATCCAGTCAACCAAACACTGTTGCAGCCAAGCAAATGCTTACTGCTCATGCTCAGTTGACATCACAAACTAGAGAACAATAGAATCCAGTTGCATTTCCAATCTCCTTGTATAGTTGTCTCAGCTATAGCTAAAGTTGAGAGTAAAAGTATTATTAGGGCTTCTCTGTACTGAAGTATACAATACTGCCAGTACATTCTTATGCTTATTACTGGAAACTTCCATTGCTAGTAAACTATGTAATTGGTTTTTGACCTGGTTAGCTTACATACTTTTTTTCTTTTTCCCTAGACTGAACTTGACCGATTAAGAAAAGTTCATGAAAGCAATTTATTGAAAGCAAGAGAAGACTTGAAAAAACAGCTTGATTCAATGTCTGCAAAACTTGATGAAAAATGGACTGATACCTTGAGGTAAAAAAATTAATTAATCTCCCTTTCTTCATTTGTAACATCTATATTATTATTTCCTAGATTATCTATATTATTTTATTCATTTAATCTTTTCTTTATTTTTTCTTTCATTAGTTGTATCTTTAGCCTTTTTTTTTGCATTTCATGTTTGTTTAGTTTGTTACATTTGCCTAACTTAGCTTACAGTACTATCTCATGCGGTTATATAGTACTGTACGTGATTTAACTATATTCGTGATGAGATAGAAAATTCACAGAAAATGTGGCCATTATACATACTGATAAGCAACAAAAACAGTTGAGGAATGATGAGAGAGGCCTGTACCCAGCATACGAACATAAACAACAAAATTTTGATGATGATATTTTCTTCCGTTTCAATATTTTAACATTGAGATTAGGGAATTATATATATTTGAAATGCTGAGTTATTCAAATATTTCTAATACTGTAATTTTAAACATTTTCAAAGGCGAGAATGTGAGAAACTGAAAGGTGAGCTGATAGAACAGCATGAAGAGGACAAGAAATCTGCCCTTAGTCAGCTGACCTTGATGAAAGGTCAGGAATTAGAAGCCATGAAGGAGGCATGGCAACAGAAGGTTAATGACCTACTACAACAGGTAAGATAAATATCAAATCAATATTTTGATTTAAAAATTCCCTAAAATAGACCATTGTGAACATTGATAAGTCTGGTAAAGTAAAGGTAGGGGTCATTGTGCTGAATTGTGTATGGGCGTGGTCCATGACTGCCCAGCCGCTGTAGAGGTGCTTATAGTAGCTACTGTACACGTTCACATCATTCCACAAGGACGGGGGCTGAAATGAACCATAGCATTGGGGTAACCACCCTAATCTTCCGACAGATTCAGTGGGTTTCTTAAAGTGCACAGGAGCCAGATGCGTACACTGGATCTCCATTTTAAGTCCTTATTTGAGAAGACTTGGTTCTATTAAACGAAACATGGGCGAGGAGAGGCTTGAACCAGCGCTGATGTTATGGCTGTAGTTAGCGGCGCCCCTGCCTTACTGCTCGGCCACTCAACTCAAGATAGTATGGAACAAATTCCATAGAATATCATGTATCAGTTTCTTTTTGTATTGGCACCTAACATGGAGTGTGGTAGATAGATATACAGTACCTTTACACAGGATGTTTATAGTTTCAACAGGCATGGAAGGATGAATAGAAAAGTATGGTTATATTAATCAATGACTTTATTCTTCATAGATAACTTCACTGAAGAATAGTTTGAGCAATAAGTCTGAGTGGGCACTGAAGGAGATCAATACACTGCAAACCAAAGCAGATGCAGAGATTAAAAGACTGGAAGCCAGAAACGAACAGGCTAAAAAGGAATACAAAGAAGAGATGGAGAGGTTGAAGAAGATTTCAGAAGAAGAAAAACAACAAATTGAGAATGATAAATTGATTAGCCTTAAGGTATATGTCAGCTCATTTAATCACAACATACATCCTATGAGCAAATGAATATTATTTGTATAAAATATCAGATAATAGTAGAAGTGGAAGTAATAGTGATATATATATATATATTTTTAATTTACATTATAAGATTTATAGGGGGCATATATCCAGAAAAAATGCTCATGGCACCTTTTCCTAGTCATTGAATACATGCAATACAATACAAACATGCAACCTCCTCTGTTCCCTGGGGAGTATTCCTAGTTATGTGTGTAATCAGCACTCCGAATCATTCACCTCCTACCAGGTATCCATTTATACTCCTGGGTGAAGAGAGGCAAATGCAGATATAGTGTCTTGCCCAATGACACAAGCAGTGTGACGAGCATTGGTCTTCAACCTCTGACCTTCCGATTGAACAGGGGCAGCGCATGGATTTCCACGACGGGAGGGGGGTATCAAAATATGATAATTTAGGGGTTTTTCTCCCCTACTGGGGTGGGCTAGCCTCCCCAACATTGGGGCTGTAGCGCCTCCTCCCCAACCACCCTGTAGCACGGCCACTGCGATTGAAAGTCCAACGCCTTACACGCTGCACAACACGCTTCTACAAATCACACTTTAGTAGATACTTCCACTGACATTGAATATATGCATACAATACTGTAATTGCTGAATGTATCAATTGCTAATGGTCTCTTTTCAGGCAATTGAAGCTGAATTTGAGCAAAGGGTTACAGAGAGGTTGAGCGCACAGGTGGAGGCTAGTCAAGCAGCATTGAGTGAGGCAAAGAAGGAAGCAGAAAATGACAAGCAGTCTGCATTGCATGCTAAGGAGGCTGATCATAAACAAACAACAGAGAAACTGAAGATTGAACTGTCACAACGACACATGTCGGAGATCGATCAGATATCAAAAGCACATAAGCAGCAGATATCAGCAGCGAGGATGGAACTCGAACGAGCTGTGGAATTGAAACAGATGCAAGTGAGTCATAAATCTAGCTGTGTGATTGATTATTAGGTTCAAATGTTCTTCAAATCACAGTTTAAATAGTTAAGGTTTATTTTGGAGGGGGTACTGTGTGCCTTGGTGTGGTGGAACCCACGAAAATAGCTTTAAAAAATGTACTGAAATACTGTTTAACTATTCAAATGTATTCTATATGTATTGGCAAATCTGTCTTTTTTATGGCAAAATAGGATAAGGAGAATAAACTGCGTCTGCAAGAAATGCAAGATGATATCAAATTCAGACAAACCCACATTGAAAACATGCACACCGAGGTGATGGAACTGAAAAATAACATTGAAGAACTCACAAGGACTCTAGACTTCAAAGGCCAGGAGATCCTCAAGGTTAAAAGTAATGCTGATGCCCAGCTCCGGAAGCAGGAACAACAACTTCAAAAGTCCCACCAGAAGGAATTAGATAACATGGAGGCGGAGTATTTGAGGGAAAAGCAAGGAATGCTGACAGAATTCAACCGAGCACAGGAACTCCTCAAAGATAAGATATCAGCTCTTCAGATTAAGTGAGTTTATAATGTTTCGCCAACTACTGGACTTTCTCCTTTCAACTTCAGTATTTTGTATCATTTTTCCCTATCTACAAATTTTTGGGAATACTGTCTCTTCTGACATCACCCTCTGTTTACTGCATCTGTATTACTTATTTAATTACCATCTGCAGTTACTTCACTGTATTATTATTTATTTATTTATTTATTTACAAATATATTTTACATGGATAACATTTTCATAAAAATTATTTTCTAACAAATGGTCCATGAAATAAATATAAATCTAACAATTAGAAATAACAGGAAGAAATATTTTTGGATTTTTTACAATAATTAAATGAATTAATACAATATTTAAATACATTATAATTAAATTTGAATATATATAGAAAAATATAATTATTTTACGTAAAAGACGATTTAATTAAATTTTAATATGAAGATTTATGCAGTATACATTTTAATAGATAATACATTAGTGCAAGTGAATTAAAAAAAATATATATTTTTTGGATTATAACAAACAACATTTTATTATACTTAATATACAGTACAACAGTTTTTCTCTGTTGTTACTCAATAGCCTTTTTACCTATCTTCTTGTATGAATCGTCTTGTATTTCAATCAACAGGCTTGCAGAAGCAGAAGAAAAATACAACAGACGTGATTCTAGGCCGGAAGACCTGGAAGAAATATTTAGGTTGAAGTACAAGCTAACAGAACAAGAGCAACTGATGAGGAAATTTGAGGTACTGTGCAAATTATGTTGGGAAGCTTGTCTATACATATACCTTCTCTCTGTCAGTCGGTGCTAAACTAGATAGGGGTAACCAGTGACATATCTAGCAGTCTCGAAATTGGGTGGGGGTTGATGATTATGTGAGGGGGAGCTCGGTCACAAAAGAAGGTGATATAATGGAGTAACAGTTTGGGACCCATAGGAAGAAACTAGAGGCATTTATACACTTTATCAATCCACCCGTGAAGCCTCTCTCTTCTTACCAGTACCCCCCCCCCCCCCCACCAACCCTCTTTTATGATAATCAACATACTCTTGATTGCCAATTTTTGTGGATAAATTTTTGTTATTATTTTGTTAATTCCTTTCTTTTATAATTAGGAGGAGAAGCGGTACTTCCAAATGGAATTAGTGAATCGTGAAACCAACTTCAATAAAGTCTTCAACTCTAGTCCAAACGTTGGAGTAATAAATCCATTGATGAAAGTAAGTCAATGTTTTTAGTATATTTTTATATTATGTCATGCAAGTATATTTAAAAACAAAGATTTACTAAACTGAGACGTTATCACTGTATTATAAAGTTAAATGTGCAGAATACTACAGTATCGTTATCATTATTCTTTTTTTATTTTCCAGAAAAAGAAAGCTCCGGACAGGTTTGTAAGCGCACCAAATATGGGCATCAACGGAATTAGTGGTAATAACCAACGATTGGTTCCACTTCCTGATTCCCCAGTACATGACGTAAAATTAAATCCAAATCGGCCTCTTCAAGACCCAAGACAAATACAGATGCCGCGCCCTCCAGGGAAATCAAAGAAATTTTTGAATATCTAGAATATAAATGGGTACATTAATTAAATATACAGTATTGTGTTTGATGAAGAATTTTGTTGTCAGACAATGTATTTTAAACTACTGTTTATCCTAAAACCCCAATATGCAAATTGTTTTAGTTATTTTGTATAATGTGCAGAGTGAATGATGTTATGTTACATCAGAGAATTTACTGGATTCTGGTGCATTTGGCCTTGTTCAAAAATACTTTCATATATATTTTAAGTTGTCTGTACCATATGTACATATTCAAGTTTTAAAATGTGCTAATAGATGACAAAAATTTAATAAATTTACTATAGACTTTGTGTGGAACAAATATACTTTGAATATTACACTTGATATGTGTTAAACAATTGTAACTATATAATAGCTAAGGACGGTGCAGTGCAGTGCTGTAATACACTAATTTTAACATACACTTTGGTATAAAGATGTTAATATTTGTAAATATTACCACTATGTATATAAAAAGTTTCTATTGTTAATATTTTATCAAAATGTTAGGAGTTTATATTAGAAGTTGATTATTTCTTAATTTGAATTTTATATTATTTATTATTTTTTCTTCCAAAGGTTAAAATTATAAGGTGTGCATAAACATAATTAAAATTTGGAAAACTTTACTACATTTAAATTATTTAGAAAAATTTAGTATTATTTTATTATAATTGATAAACACCTTGACATCCCTAGATAAATGCCGCTACACAAATGTCTATACTATAGTATTGAAGATTTTTACTTCCATCATAAACTTCTTTTATTAGCAAAAAATGCAATAAAAAATGAAATGCAAAAATAAAATCTGAAGAGTTTTTTGGGTTGTATTAATTTATTATTTCTTTTAAATACTGTAAAACACTATTATTAATGTTTTAATATACATCATAGCGCATTATCATCATAGGGATGGGGAAGGCCAATTTCCTCGACCATAGCATAGAGGGGGCGGTGCCAGGGCAGTCCAGAACACCTCAATCTCAAAAATCTAGGGATTTAAACTCGAAATTGAGAAACTCGTACAAAATTCTCTCACTTAGTCACTGAACAAAGATACTGTATCTGGGTAGTATATTAATCGAAACATTAAAACATTGTTGAGTCTGAGACAAATCTGATAGTACAAGTTATTTATTACTTTATTAACCTGCCATTACAATGTTCATATCTCAGCTGCGATCTGTTATCCTTATGTGTCCAGGGTGGAATGCTATCCATGTTCATAATAATTTTAACACAAAATTGACTATAATCTTTGTGGTGTGATGTCAAAAAGTGCATTGGCAGTCCGTAACGAACAGAAGCAACTACTGAATTTCCCGCAAATATTTGTTTACTGGGAATTGTTCTTCTTGTCTATACCACAGTATAATTAAAAAGAAAATACAAATTGTGTTCACACCTAAAAATCGGGAAAATTACGGTGCATAACAAACAAAAATAATAAGATTGAACTGAAGCGAATTTTTTTAGTATATTTTTATATTATGTCATGCAAGTATATTTAAAAACAAAGATTTACTAAACTGAGACATTATCACTGTATTATAAAGTTAAGTGTGAAGACTAGCAGAATACTACAGTATCGTTATCATCATTCTTTTTTTATTTTCCAGAAAAAGAAAGGCGAAAAAGCTCCAGACAGGTTTGTAAGCGCACCAAATATGGGCATTAACGGAATTAGTGGTAATAACCAACGATTGGTTCCACTTCCTGATTCCCCAGTACATGACGTAAAATTAAATCCAAATCGGCCTCTTCAAGACCCAAGACAAATACAGATGCCACGCCCTCCAGGGAAATCAAAGAAATTTTTGAATATCTAGAATATAACTGATGGGTACATTAATTAAATGTACAGTACTGTGTTTGATAAAGTATTTTAAACTACTGTTTATCCTAAAACCCCAATATGCAAATTGTTTATATCATTAAAATTATTTTGTATAAATGTGCAGAGTGAATGATGTTATGTTACATCAGAGAATTTACTGGATTATGGTGCATTTGGCCTTGTTCAAAAATACTTTCATATATATTTTAAGTTGTCTGTACCATATGTACATATCCAAGTTTTAAAATGTGCTAATAGATGACAAAAATTTAATAGATTTACTATAGACTTTGTGTGGAACAAATATACTTCGAATATCACACTTGATATGTGTTAAACACACGTAACTATATAATAGCTCAATGAAGCAAAGGTAGTTGAGGACGGTGCAGTGAAGTGCTGTAGAAGATGTGCTTTATTTTAATAGAAATGGTACTACAGGAAGTACTGTAATACACTAATTTTAACATATTTACACCTTGGTACAAGCTATGGTATAAAGATGTTAATATTTGTAAATATTACCACTATGTATATAAAATGTTTATATTGTGAATATTTTATCAAAATGTTAGGAGTTTATATTAGAAGTTGATTATTTCTTAATTTGACTTTTATATTATTTATTATTTTTTCTTCCAAAGGTTAAAATTATAAGGTGTGCATAAACATAATTAAAATTTGGAAAAATGTAGTATTATTTTATTATAATAAACACCTTGATATCGCTAGATAAATGCCGCTACACAAATGTCTATACTACAGTATTGAAGATTTTTACTTCCATCATAAACTTCTTATATTAGCAAAAAATTCAATAAAAAGTGAAATGCAAAAATAAAATCTGAAGAGTTTTTTGGGTTGTATTAATTTATTATTTCTTTTAAATACTGTAAAACACTATTATGGATGTTTTAATATACATCATAGCGCATTATCATCATAGGGATGGGGAAGGCCAATTTCCTCGACCATAGCATAGAGGGGGCGGTGCCAGGGCAGTCCAGAACACCTCAATCTAAAAAATCTAGGGATTTAAACTCGAAATTGAGAAACTTAACTCGTACAAAATTCTCTCACTTAGTCACTGAACAAAGATACTGTATCTGGGTAGTATATTAATCGAAACATTAAAACATTGTTGAGTCTGAGACAAATCTGATAGTAAAAGTTATTTATTACTTTATTAGCCTGCCATTACAATGTTCATATCTCAGCTGCGATCTGTTATCCTTATATGTCCAGGATGGAATGCTATCCATGTTCATAATAATTTTAACACAAAATTGACTATAATCTTGTCATACACAGGGGTCTATAACAGACCATTGCTATACCACTGTCTAATCAGTCAGTGGCCTTTATAGCCCGTTTGGAGGAGGCTATAACTCTAAGCATTTATATCTTCAGCAGAGGTGAGCATAAAAAAACAAAGGGCTAAAGTGAATTTTTGATTTGAGACTGGAGGCTGCACAAAACATTAAAAATGATTTTTTGGTGAAAATTTTACATTTTCATTGTGCTTGTAAAATCCTTCATGCACTGCTTTTATACCACTTCATGCTCAGTTTCAATATTACATTTAACAGATGATCAGTGACAGGCCGTAACATCAAAGGGGGTTTTGTAGCCTAAAATAGTAGTATTTTCGCAGACCACAACAAAATTGTTGTCGGGCAGACTGTACTTAGCTGACCTGTGATCTAGAGCAGCGTTCAGCAAACTTTTCACTTCACGGCCTATTTATGATTCCAGGGACCAAGCCACAGCCCAGCCGCGCCAGGGACCAACATACCAAAACCTGGCAAGAACTTGATCATAAAGCCTCCATGTATATACAATATTTTGACATCATTATCTTTTCTCTCAGTGATAAAATTTCATTGTATACAAATTAAATATTATTTTATTTAATAAATAATACCGTACACACCACACCACACCACACCATTGTTAATTGTTTTTTTTTACTGTAGTGATCTTTAAGGACAGGTCTTATATTTATTTTTATCTTTAGCTATGACTCATCCCATCATTCCTCCTTACCGGATTTACTCGATCTTACAGGGTTAATACTTGACGATAACATAGTGTCTAGCTCCCGAGGGGACGTAGACACAAAAACCGCTTATAACTCAAATAGCACGCATCATCTGGCACTTTAGCAGCGTGTAACAATGAAGCGGCTTTATTAAAAACTATTTTCTCCATGATGAAACGTCTCTCTGTTATTATTTCTATTTTTTTTCAATTTCCAGACGGCTTCGCGGCCCTCCAAAAATGTTTTGCGGCCCAAATTTGGGCCACGCACCATAGTTTGCGGAAAATCGATCTAGAGTAATTTGCATAGAGTTTGGATAGTGACACATCCTCTGATTAACATTTAGTCAAAGCATATTTTCCACCTCAGAAAATCCAGCTTAAATATATTTCTATTCAATGATAGTCACCTATAAACTCAGCCAGCATGACATGCCCACAAAATGCCTTATTTGGTATTCAGTACACAGAATTGCCCAACCGATCTGAGTCATGACCAAAGTAATTGGCTACCACCTGTAGTGCCGAGCCTAGTTTCAAGAACACAACTGGATTCCACCTATCACACGCAACGTGAGCAGAGTCAACATTCAAGGTGTGAACATCAGATTCATAGGTGACAGACGGTTACCAAGTGGCGTCTGCTTCTCCTGTAGTGCTGGATTTTGGGTTTGAACCATCGAACCATTTAAGTTATCTCCGCCAGATGGTCCTCCGATGCCGCCTGATTTCTTTTGATTTTCGATTTCTCGCTGAATCTCTTTACCATCTTCTCTAACCTGTAAAAACAGAATTAGACACCAATTTCTTAGTACATGTTTGTATGATTAACCACACTTGCTTTACAAGTGTTACAATAAAATTCAGATTAATTCTATTTAGCATGATTAATAAAACACTATGAAAGTTTGTGGCGGAGTAGCTAGGCTCTGTTTTGGTACATCACCAGTGTTGGACCACCAGAAAACCATGTTTTATACATTTTCAAAATAAAATAATTTATTTAATTTGAAAGAGTATCTAAGTTACTGATAATTAACATGCAATTTACACAACAACAGATTATATTATTATTACTGTAATCTTCCATGTATGTTAGACTGATTTTAAAGCAGCTGTTAACGCATCTAGAGCCCTCTCTCAAATTACCTCATTATATTCACAGCACTTTTGAGCATAGTATGATGCTTCATCAAAAAGACGTCGTTTGAGATAGTAACGCCCAAGGAACACATAAGCCTGGCATTGCTCTTCACTACCAACAGTCTACAAAATAAAATGAAGTTAAGATTGCCATTTTAGTGTAGGAAATAATTTGCAAAATACATACGTACATTACAGCATTTATATATACTGTAGTTCTATTTCATAAAGATCAGAGTGCTTTTCACTTTTTTTTTCACAGTATTTGTTGAACTAATAATTTTAAGACAAAATTTGAAATTAAAATTTATTATTTTGTTTATTTAAGTAAAGTTATTAGCTTTCAATGGTAAATTATAACAGGAAAATGTATTCCTTGCTAATTAACAAAATAAATAACACATCCCTTTGATACATTTACATGAAAAATGCAAAGTTACAGAGAGTATAGCAATTTTGTGGCTTTCGAAAACCAAAAATTAAAAGCATTTTGTTCAATTTTTGAAAACAATTTAAAAATTAAAATCCTGTGCAGTATTACGCAAATGAAAGAAGAATGAGAAGATGAACTTGCACAGGTTCAGAATACTGCAATAACTAATAGTTAAAAAATGATGACAGACAACATACCCCAAATGCTTCAGCTTGTTCTAAGAACTTGTTATAAAAATATGCAGCTTTCTCCTCATCTTCTAACTTCTGTTTCAATAACCTTATAATAAAACATGAAAAAAATAAAACTAAGTTGTAAAAAGGGAAATTAATAGTGGCTAGACATCAATTAATCATTCAATGGGATTGACAGGTATACATATCAATCAATGAATGTGGATAGCAAGCAGCACAACCATATATATAGCTAGATATTACTAGTTCATAAGTCATACTATTATTGATATAATACATAACTATGTGTTGATGTTGGCCCTAATAACACATTTTAATCTCAACTGTTCAACATCACAATTTTTAAAACCGAAAAAAAAAGAAATGTTATGTCACAATTTGTCTATTTTTTTTAACTTGAACAAACATACTGTACTATACTAAAATTAGTTTTTATATGCTTTTTTATCTTTACTACTTTGTCTGTAAACACTGAATTATTAACATTTTTTAAAACCTGAATAGCAAATAACACAGAAAGAAAAACATTAACTATGCACGCTGTCCATCAAAGCACCTTATGCGTCCTCATCAAAGAGTATATCAAATGTGAACAATATTGAGCTTACTTGGCTAATCGGAGAACTGCAGTTCCCTCAACATCGCCAACTGAGTAGGCCTTCCAATAGCATTTCTTGGCTTCCTCTACCTTCTCCAAGGCTTCATAACTCTCAGCTAAAGCTACTAACATTCTGGAATCATTTGGCCTGAAAGAGGAATAGCAAAAAAAGAAAACAAACTCTCACATTAATTTTTATAAACAGATTATTAAATATACATTGTAAAATAAATTATAGTAACTTTCTGGTCGCATAAAAAATTTCCTATCGTATACTCCGAGTGACCGCTCTAGTTTGTACTGAGATGGGTCTGATCTCACCTGAGCTGTTGGGCTTGTTTGTAGTAATATATACAGTAAAAAGGCATACGGAGAATCTCGTAGGTCTGCCCCAGTCCATACCAGGCTCGGAAATCTCTTGGATTCACCTCTGGAACACAGAAACAGAGAGTAATTTCATAATATGGATTTTATAATATGTTGAGTTTATTCAGTGATGGATCCAGAATTATGGAAGATGGTGCAGAGTGGCAATTGGGTACATACGATCTGGTGGGGGAGGGGTTATGTCCCCTGGATACTCCAAGGGTTTTTTTTCTGAGGGGTCTTCAAGTTCCCATTTCACTACATCTAGATCCACCACTGTCATGTATTGCTGTATACTGATTTATAATATGAAAGTATATTATTTTACAATAATGATTTATTATTGAGGTTATATTATTAATGTATATAATTATTAGTCATTAAATAATGAAGGAGTTTAGATGCCTATTTTAACCTAATTAAAAAGACTCACCTATGGCCTGTCTATAAGCCTGTATTGCTGCAGAAGAGTTCTTCATTTCCATAAACTCGTGGCCCATCAGAGTCCAAGCCGATAGGTAGTGTGGATTAAGCTTCAGTGCACGCTGGAAGTACAGGACCGCTTTCTCGTGCTGAGAACGCAATGAGTAGTAATTACCTAATAAGGTAAATAAAAAATGCATCAGCAATGGATTAAATTACTTAGCTAAACAGTATAATAACAAAAAATACCATATACAGTATATACTGTATATATTTTTGAGGATTTTCTTTTTAACCAAGATACTTTTTATCCTTCCTGATTTTAAGATCATCCTTGGCAGATTTCTTCAAATGCTGTCATAAAAACCTGGGTGAGGACACTTATTGTGGGATGGCTACAATTTGCAAAAGCCATTAAAAATAATGAACTATTTAAAAACCAACCAAAATACTAAGTCAAGAGTCACTTTAACATCTGATGTACTTACCAATGACACAACAGGTTTCCACTCTGTATTTATCAACTTCACAAACATGATGTGCTAAGTAGGCTAACTCAGCTTTCATTTCCTAAACAAAAAACCAGAAGTGATAAATAATTAATTAATTTTTGAATAATCTCTGTAGAAGATTTAGTGCAAGTCTACATGTCAGGTCTTTACATAATATTTATCAATCTATGATAGGGTTTCAATATTGAGCAAAGTAGCATAGCTCATTTGGCTAATGGTAGTTACTTCTCTATGTACAATGGACAATGAAGAGATTCTTGGGTCTGTGGTTCAATCCCAGCATTGTTCTCAATAAAGATAATAATTCTGGAGACTTCGATAGTGCCAGCCTCCACTATTCAGTGCTTGTTTTCAGCAGGACAGTAAGTTGAAATGTAGGTTAATTAGCACAATGTGATAGTTAAGTGCCATAGTAATTAACTCAAAGAATAATTTAAAATGAATTCTACAGATCAACAGACTTACCCTAACATACAATAAATTGGAGTAAGTGTCCATGTTCTCCAAACGATATGGATCTATCTTCTGAAGATTATCAAATAACTTTAATGCACTTTCAAAATCTGAAAAAAAGGGAATTGGAATGAGGTAGTAACATTAAAAGTTTCATTTCTTTGGGCTTAGCAAATGTTCTTCTAACACTGGCTTTTTATAATATAATTAATACATTTTTGCTGATTACATTAATAGTTAAAATGTCAGTCTCAACACCCCTATGGTCCCTACATTTCAAAATATAATTAACATGAACATGTATGCATGTATGCGTGTATGTGTGTGTGCGTGCGTGCGTGCTTGTGTGCGTGTGTGTGTATGTATGTATGTATATGAATTTAATTTAGTTTGTATATATGCTTGAAAAAATTTGGTAAAGGGACCTACAATCCAAGAAATAGTCAAACTAAACAGAATGGGCAAAACAGTACCAACATCACTGACTGAAACCACTTTTTAGAGATGTTTTGGTTTATATTTTTGAATTAAGAATTTTAAGATTTATGAGATATACTGTATTTATAAGGTGCAAGATTAAAGGAATACCTATGCTAATATTGTAATTAGGTACCCATGACAGCAGATATTTGTTTAGCTTTAGTTTGCTATTTTTTTAGTTTGTGATAAAATAATATGATAATGACAAGTACTAAGAATACATAATAATACATATTTTAACATGTTAGTTTTTAGGAGACTTGATTGAAACAAAATGTATTTCCGATAAACAAGAATTTATGCAAAACTAAAGAATGATACCATGTCTTAGTACACAGAGCTTGTTTAAAAACTACATATGAAAAATTCATGGATAGTAGTACAATAATGGTTGTTACCTCTTAAGTTATGATGAGCAACTGCTATCTGCGACATGATGTAAGTACTCTGACCAAATCCAGCTTCGCTAAGTGCTCGATAACGCTTCAATGATTCCTCGTTTAGTTGAAGTTCTAAGTAGGTGTGTGACAAGAAGAATTCCTTCATCCAGTGGTCAGGTAACGTCAATGAATTTAACTATTAAAAAAAAGTTAAATGTGATATGTTTATCATAAATTAATTTAGCAAAAAACCAATGTGTTCACTTAAAAAATATAATTCGGATTTGCGATGGTATGCAACTTTTAGTGAAATCTCTAACCAGTTTATTCCAGTGTGAGATAAGTGCCTTGACCAAGTAATTTTGATTATTTTATTGTCATTTATATAGCACTGTTTTCTTTAAGGTCACATATAATATGTTAGGTTATATAATAACTTTGATGCTGTTTTCTCTGCTAAAGCTTTTTACCATTTCTTTACTAGACACCATTGAAGACAGCTCAATCCAGGCTCCCCAGTAAAGTGGATTCCTCTGAATCGATTCTGCTAATATAGTCATTGCTTCTTTTTTTAATTCCAGCTTCTTTAAAACTACTCCATAGCTTTGAGAGAAAAGGAGGAAAGATTACCAAGTAAGCTAAGGAACTATGTGAATATTTCAGCATTTAAAAATGCATTAAATACAAATTAGCTAGATAAATATAAACAAAATTTGATAAGATGTTTACCTACCCTAAATTGTTATGTGCATGATGAATAATGTAAATTCTCATTTAAAAATGATGATACTCCTTAATCATTGTATTAGTTTTGTTTTTTTCTTTGTTCTGTTGTATTATGTTTATCATTTAATGGTCCCACATGTAGAGAAATGCTTGTGATGGGATACCCTTTTTTTACATATGAAAAACATGAAATTTAATAGGTAAAAATAATAATTATAATATTATTAATTATATAATAATTTAATATGTGAAATATATTAATTATAATATTATTAACTATATAATAATTTAATATGTGAAATATGTTAAATATAGAAGAAATTGAATTGAATTATGTTGCATGGAACTTGCAATATACTAAAAAGTTAAGTTGCTCAGTGGCCTAGTTAAGTAGTAGGCTTAGATCATTTGGGTCTTTTTTTTTTTATACATAAGAGCAGTAATGGTTATTTTTGTGTACCTATGTTATTTATGTATATTCAAAATGTATTGGGATTAATAGGGAAAATGGTAGGGAAAAGTCTGGATTTGTACTATAATTATATATTATTCCTGTCATGGTGGTACTTACAGATACAGACAAAAACTATCCAACTCTCCTGCATTGTATTTCTTGCCGAGCTCAATCCTTAAGGTTTTTAAAGTCTCATTCTTCGTTGCCTTGTACTCTATCGGGCCCATCTGACCGGCTAACTCGTCATATCGCTGTTTTTCTCCAGCCTGAGATAGAAATGAAAATCTATCAAAGTAAATTTGAAATGGCTGACAAAGCAACATACTACTACCTGACAAAAATATGTATCAGAAGTGAATTTATTTTAGAATATTTATTTTTCAGTTTGATGAAAGTGTGCATTTCATCCATATCCCTTCCAGTGTTCTCCCAATTGGAAACATTTTTGCTGGTAAACTTGTCCATAAAAATTCAGCTATGCACGCAATTTGAGGCATTATCTCTTTTGAGTGGAGTTTATTGACTTGAAAAAACAACTACACATACTGTATACTCATAGTCTAGGTAAAGATTGGAATGATGTTCATTTATTGAAAGAAATGAAGTCTAGACTACCTAGACCTAATCAACGATTTTATTATTTTACTATCTCAAAATTTTTACTGGTTAGCCAGTCATTTTAACCGGTAAAATTGACGGCTAAACCGGCTTCGGGGGGACACTGTCTTCATAAGATAATATATGTTTCACTACAAGTGTAGTTTGTACGTGTCCAGATGGGGATATTGTAAATTATGCAAATGTAAGAGCTGATTCCATGATAAAGGTTTAAGCATAGATGAGCATAAATAATTAGAATCATACTTACTAAATATTTGGCATATACATATATGAAATATGCTTTATGACTGGAGCAATCCTTAACAAAGAAAGCAGCTCGATCATATTCCTTAACATCGAGGTAGGATTTTCCAAGAGTGTACTTGTCAAGTTCCAAAAGAAAATCCTGTAAATGATAAAATTATGAGACTTAAAGTATTTCCAACTATAAAGAAGAGGCCAAATGATGCTTTAATATAAATTAGTACAGTAGTGCAGATCTGATATGTTTAAGATAAATAAGTGGATATTTCTTTCTAAATAGAATTATTCTCAAAGAATTTCATCTAACTTCAACAGCTTATAGATGTGTCTTTTTCTTAAACCAATATAATATCAGTGTGATCAAGGTTAGCCGAGGAGCAACCAAAATGTAGCAAGATAATTACACTACTACTGTACATTGTATCATTTTGGCCTACCAAAAGAAACAACATATCAGTAGAATTAATTTTTATCTTGTAATTATCATCAAAGAGTCCGTTCAAGAAAGCCACAACGGTTATGGTCCACTAAGAAAATCATAAACTTTTAGTACAGTACTAACCTCTGATTCATCACTTTGCATTGGTGCTTCTACCGGCTTTACTCCAGCCAGGGAGTGGCAAAGCTCAGCACACCTAATCAAAGTAAAGCAATAACCTCATTAACAATCAACAATAAAACAATGAAGTACAACATATCTGTTGATTTTTCCTCTGATAATTGTTTACAGAAAAAGTTTGCAAAACAAAGTATAAAAAAAGTTTTGTCTAATTCATAGAATCATCATTAACTTTGTCTTTGCTATGGTTCCAATTTTTTGATTTTGTTAAAAAAAATTATTAAACTTTTATAATTCTTTCAATCCGTTTTTTATTTCATTTTGATGGATTAAAATTTCTCACAATATTTGTGATTTGGATTAAATGTCATTTTCTAGGTGTGAATTTTTATATACTTTTTTATTGGTGCCTATTAATCTTTGTGAATTAATTTTTAATGTAAATATGTCAATATAAATGAATAAATAATTAGAAACTTATATATTTTATTGTAGTTAAAAATTAATAATTAAACCTCATATTTTAACTATTTTGATTGTCATGTTTAATTTTAATTGTTACAATCATTAAAAATCATAAATTTATTTAATTGTATTTTAATTGAATTTGTAAAAGAATTTAAATGAATTAGCTGGTTTTTTTTTACACTTTTGTAATTTTGTATGTTTTTCTATTTTCATAGTCTAATCAATTAAAATTTTGCTTTTGAAATTCTTACTATTTTTGTATAATTCAATCACTGGTTACTTTTGCTTGCAATACATATATTTTGAATTGAATTCGATTATAGCTATCATAGTACTGTTTAATAAATTACTAGAATGCACATTGGCAGTCCATACCAGTGGGGCTCCAGAAATATGCCGTCAAGGGGTTTGATACATCTGACGGAGGGGTCTGAACCAAGTGGTCAACTGGAACCTTTCATGGGGTCCAAGAATAAAAAATCCCTGGTTGGTAAAGTTCAAAGGGACTTTTTTATGGCTTAGTATGGTCCAAATTGCATAGTCACCAACTTTACCAAAAAAAAAAAAAAAAAAAAAATCTAGAATGCATAGGCTACACAAAATCTGTGAAGAAAATAATAATAGGCCTAGTTAATTTTTTTTATATAATTTTAGTTTTTGTTCTATAAATGTTAAAAGGTCACATAGTTTGCACATGATCCCTGGCCTAGCCTTGGCCTATATACCATATTTCCGGAAAAATAAAATATTTAAAAATATCATAGAAAATTAACTAGGTAGTAGCATGAGTTCAATCAAATAAACATTATTTTAATGTTTGAATGTTGTAGAATCTTTGATGCAAGTTACATTTAAATCCAAGCAAGATGTTTTTTTTTCTTAACAATTGTCAATGACATAGTTACCTACCTACATCTAGCCTAGCTAGGCCTAGCCACCTAGGTCCCTACCCTCCCTATTACTAGGCCTAGGATTAAATAGCTTAGCCAGGCTATCTAGCTTAACCTAGAACTAGGCCTAGTTAGGCCCTTGGCCTAGGCCTGTACCAAGCTAGGCCTAGGCCCATATATAGGCTACCACCAGGCCTAGCCTAACCGCCTAAGCCTAGGCCCTACTACCTATAATGCCAAGGTCTAGGCCTAGCTTTACAATAACGTCGACAATTTAAAAATAAGAAAAAGGCCTTGCCATTTAACACTTTGCTGAAGGCTTCGCTGTGAAGACTGATTAATTGAGGTTAGCAGCTCTCGCTTTATTTGTGGGAGGTTAATATCACCAACAGAATTAGTAACACTAACAGGAGTTGGAATTGCCGCCATCTTTAGAGGACGTATTGGATAGAGCACGACCTCAGAGCCTCAGTCATGAGCAATCTTATAACTATCCTAGCCAAAACGCACAAACCAAAACGGCACTGATAGTCAATAATCCAAAACGGCAACACTTTTTAACCAGAACGGCAAATGACAAAAATGGTAATATAAAACGCAATAAACAAAATCGGCAACACAGTTCAGTTTATTTCACGTCATCAAAATATTCTACAAAAATAGATAAAATTTGCACAATACAGGACAAAAAATTACAATAAAAAATTATGCAAGGAGACCTATTATGAAAGTTTTCTTTAAGAAGTAAAGCTTATTTCCTACTAAACATGAAAATATAAAACGATTAAATACGGAAAAATTTAAAATAATAAAAAAACACATTAAATTACAGACAAACTGAGGTTTAACTATTTGTGTCATAAAAGTAAAAAAACGCGCGAAAAAAAACCCCCAACAACAACAGCAACAACAACAACCATAATGATAATAATAATAATAAATAATAATAATAACAATAATAATAATAATAATAATAATAATAATAATAATAATAATAATTTAAAAAAAAATGAGGCTTAACTATTTGAGTCGCAAACACAACGTTCTTGACGTTTGCGAACGTAGTGGTTAGGCCTAGGTATATATAAACAAAAGAACGTTCAGGAACGTGGGCTGAAGTGGTGAGAACTCTCACGCACCCCATGTCTAATCCTGCATCCGCCCCACTGCCCCAGAGAGGAGTTATTTATTTTGAGAATAAGGACCTGTAGATGCCCAGAAATTTCACTCTCATACCTTAAATAAAAATCTTTCCGGTATTTCATATCAATTCGTGCACCCCTCCCCACATCCGCCCCAGCCTCTTGCATAGTCTTAGGTAGAAGTGGTTTGCGCATCGATTGTGGCTTGGAATCCTAACCTTGAGGTCGGGGGTTCGAAACTTTTGCTGTGCAAGTCGCTTGTGTCCTTGGGCAAGGCACTTTATCTACGGTTGTCTCTCCCAGGAGTACAAGTGGGTACCTGCTATGTTCAAGCACAGCCTAACGCTGAATACACCTGCAACATTATGGAATTTCCCCATGGGGCCTGAGTGTGTGTTCCATATGTGCTTGATGGCTTGATCCATTGATCTGGGGGTAATAATGTAAGCGCAGAGGTCTCTACAATTATATGCGCTATATAAGTCGACAATTATTATTATTAAAGGGCATGTTATTTGTTATGCCATTGTTTTTGCCGATTTACTCTATTGGTTGTATGTTTAATAATTAGTATGGTTTTTGTCTAAAATAAAATATTGATTTGAATTGAGTATTGAAATCGTGAATGAAAGCTTCAATTTTTCCTATCATAAACTTTATATACATCATGTAGGCCTAGCCTAATTCAATATATAGCACTCTGAAATCGACTTTATAACGTCTTAGGAATCTCTACAATCAGGTCAGGCTTTCTTGTGAGCAGTAGCGGCGTATCTATGGGGGTGCGCCCCTGCCCCCAAAAAATTACTCGCGAACCCCTCCGCAAAATCACAGTCAAGTAGTTAAAAATAAATTTGCAAATTAGCGCCCCTCAAATGA